ACGCATCAGTGAGCCAATTTAATCATGAAGACAAAGCCATTTATATAAGCATTTGGTTTGCTCACTCTTTTGATATATGCTTGTTGTAGGGATCTGTGTGTGTGTGGGGGGAAACTGTCAGGAGTCTGACTTTCAATTTGTAATAGACAAAAAAAAAAAAGTACTTATGTTTTGTAAATGTGTCCTGTATGCTCACTTTACCATTTCTTTTACTGTGCATAATGAACTGCAAAGCAAAATTAGGATTAACTTAGAAGAATGGAAATAGGCCTTTGCATATTTATAAAGGAGGAATACACAGAAATAAGCCATACATTTTCTAAAAGACTGCATTCCTGCAAGCAAATATGGGAACTGACTCTTGGATTTGTGAATTGATAAAGAGTACTTAAAACAATAAATTACCTACATTGATTATTTCCCAAGTTATTAAATACTTATTATCAAACAAAATCCCTACAAGATTTTTTTTCTTATAAGTAATGAGAACCTTCATATTCCATATTTTAGAGTAAGCACTACCTTTTCTTTAGAGAAGAGGGGGAAATCTGATATTTTTTGGACTCAAATAATAAGTAATTCCACTGAACATAATTCTTTACTTTTCCAGTAATTTGTTGCTGTAGCATTCCCACAGTATAGTGTGGGGCAGAGAACATGAGACTGGAAGTATTTAAATCTGGATTCTAATTAGAAACCTGCTGCCACCACTAAAACATTATCTGTCTCAGCCCTTTGACCTCCATTTCCTCATCTGTTATGTAAGAGACCTCTTCTGCTCCAAAGTCTTTGATTTCAATGATGTTTTCTTTCCTTTGAGTTTACTATTTTATTTTACATAAATTCTTAAAAGGTAATAAATAAAACTACAGAAGGGGAAAAAATGCTGTTCTATGTCTAAAGTTAGATTTTTTTGGAAATAAGGCTTATAGATTCTAATCAGATTGTGATTGAGAACTTGTTTTTATTAACACTCAGGAATTCATAGAATTAAAGAGAATAAGGTGAGAAAATACAGCTATTTCATTTCCTGATAGAATGGGAACCAAAATTACCAGAGTGGCATGAGAATTAAATGGTTTTCCAATGCATTTTGGTATTCAAGGAAAGTCCATTATATAATTGCAATCCATTGTTAAATTAATGTTTTACTGTGGATTATGTTGTGAAGTTGTCCTGGTTTCATGATACCCAGTTTTTTTGGTTTTCGTTTTTTTGTGTTTTTTTCGCTTGTAAAATATTTCCTCAGTTTGATTTTTTTTTTCTCTATCTAAAAATGTTGCATAGTGGCTAAGAATTTGTATTTCTGCTGCTTAGGAGGTTCTTTCTGAGTGATGGCTGGTGTTGAGTCACATACCCAGTTGATGTTGAAGTGGTATGGAGGAAATCCCTTGAGAGACCAACTATGGCTTCTGTTTCTCTGGAAATGTATGCCTTCCAAATTGCCCATAATTTCCCTAGAAAATTTTTAAATGAAAAATTTTTTCCTAATAAATGTTTAAATATTCTGTCCTTATAGTGCCACTTCATAAAATTGCATATTTTAAAAATAATTTCATATAGTTATTAATTAAAATACTCCAATTGTAAAATGAGCCAAGACTCATTTTTATCATAAACCTAATAAATTCATAATGGCTTACAACAATCTTGAGCCCTATAACATATCAGTGGCAAATTGTTTTTTAAGACATTAGACTAATTGGTTACTCATTCTGCTTAGAGTATGGTAGCAAGTGGTTTATGTTTATAAGCACCAGTTTGTCTTTATCTTTCATGCGTTTTTCAACAAGTATTTATTGAGCTCTGAACTTGCACTAGGCATTGTTTCAGGTGCTGGGGGTGGGGGTAAAGTTATAAACAAAACAGACAAAACTTCCTGCTCTCATGGAGCTTGCACTCCTGTGGGGGAAAGACAGACAATAAGTAAAACACAGAGGGATGGGTGGGGGTGTGCGGTGAAATGATAATAAAAGCTAAGAATAAAAATGAAATGGAGGGCCGGCCAAGTGGTGCATTGGTTAAGAGCTGGCTTGGAACACCAGAGGGCCCCGGTTCAGATCCCACATATGAGGGCCAGTGATACTGCCCTCTCCAGCTAAGATGCTGAACAACAGCTCAACCTGGAGCTGGGCTGCAGTGAGTCGCAGGGGACAGCGTAGGTTGCAGCCCCTGCTGCAGTGGGTTGCCATGGGCTACCATGTGTAGCCAGCAGCCAGCATGAGCAGCCAGCAGCCGCAGTAAGCGGCTGTCCAGAAGCAGGCGACTGATCTGCCTAGCCCAGGAAGAGTGCAATGATGGTGCCAACTTGGGCCAGTGAAGCAACGTCCTCCACAACTAGACTGAAGAACAAAAGGACAGCAACTTGTCTGTTCGCCTTCCCCTAATTCCCTAGCGCTGTTCCCATCCCCCAATTCCCCAGTAAAAATCTTTAAAAAAAAAAAATTTTTTTTAAATCCTTTATCTTAAAAAAAAAATGAAGTGGAAAAGCAGATAGGGCATGGTGTTGCAATGAGCAATATAGTGTCATGAAATATCTCACTGAGAAGGTAAGATTTGAATGAAGACCTGAAGGAGGTGAGGGAGTTAGCTATTTGGATATCTGGGGGAGAAGCATTCCAGACAGAGGGAAGAGCAAGGGCAAATGCTCTGAGGCAGGAGCATGCCTGACATGTCTCAGGAACAGTGAGGAGCCCAATATGATTACAGCAGAAGGAGAAATTGGGGGAACAGAAAGAGATAAAGTTAGAGAGGTAAGGCTGGAATGAGATCATCTAGGACATTGTGAGGACTTTATCTTCTATTGTGAATGAGACAAAGCCACTGGAGTTTTAAGCAGAGAAATGACATGATATCGCGTCATTATTATGTTGAGAACAGGTTATTCTCAGTCTAATTATTATGTTGGGAATAGGCTAGTGGGGGACAAAGGCTAGGAGACTTTTGCAATAATGTAGGCAAGTAGGATGATTACACTACACAACTACAAGAAGCATCATTCATCCTGCAGTTTCTGTGAATGGTGCTGTCTGTAATGAGCAGTATACAGCCCAACAGCTGTGGTTAGGAGCCCTGCAGGCAAGATGATTTGGACCAGAGTGGATGCAATGTGAATGGTGAGACATGTTTAGTCTAGATATATTTTGAAGGTAGAATTAATAGGATTTTCTGACACAGTAGTCATGGGATATGAAAGTCAAGTATGATTTCAAAGTCATCCATCAAGTTTATGAATTATTAATATTCATTACACCAAATATCATTTACTAAGGGGAATAATTCATATTTATTTTTTAATTCACCAAGCATTTATTGAAAGTCTACTATGTAGTATACAAGTATTGGTCCATATTCTGTAGGGATATTTTAAAATGTACAATAGCAGCAACAAAGGAAAACCCTGTCCTGGAAATACTTACACCTTTATTAGACAAAGCTTCCATATATAAAAGGACCAAAAGAAACAATAAAAGAACCAAATACTGTATAAAGCAACATAAGAAAAAATATGATAAAGGGACTAATAAAATGGTACATATATATTTCTCTAGGGAGGTGGTCCAACTTGAAAATAATTTTACATTTGTCAGAATATGCCCATATTTCTGATTGTTGTACTCCTCTAATCTATTCTACAATTTATTCACTATTTTCTAGTACTAACATGACTCGTGTGTTTCCTCTTCAAACTGTGGGACTAGATGTGCTCTATGGTTCATTCCTGCTCCAGGAGGAAATATATAAAAGGCTTCATATCTGAGGTAGGAATTACCTGTTTCATGTGTTCTTCTCTTGCTAATGATGTCTTAGGTTACATTCTCCACAATTTGGTTGGAAATTCACAATCTTACCTTGTCCCTTAGTTTCGCTGGCCGGTTTCTGACTTGGGACTTTTCATACCTTCTGACACTTATGTTACTTGCAGCACTTTGGCTTATGAGGACTTTTGAGGTCTTGTGGCTTCTCATGCCTCACCTTACCCACTTTCATAGCCATGTCTTGCCACTTCTTGTTCTGTGGTTTTAATTAGCATAGCCTTCCTAGTAATAATGAGATATTGAAGATTATAATAATGAGTTTGATAGCTTACATTTTTTTTTGAGTACTGCCTATGCACTAGGCTATTTAAGTATGCTTTAAGTGTTATCCTCACAGTACATTTATGAAGTGGGTACTATCTTTATCCCCAGAAGGAGCTAAGCATTAGAGAGCTATGTAACATGCCTGAGGTTACTCATCTAGAAAGTGGCAGAACTAGAATGCAAACCCAGAACCCATGAATACTACAATGCCATAATATGTCCTTTTGTATTACATACATAAACATGATACAGTGGGAGAGAAAAAGCCAATCCTAACAGTTTTCTCAACTCTGAAAGCCTCTATGTCTAATCATTATCTTTCTAATGTTATGGATTTATCATTTTAAATTTTGCCTAGTTCGAGTTGGGGATAACATTTTCAATACAGTCCTATTTTTGAAGGTGTTGATACTGGAGTTGGTTTTACATGGCCCTAGACACAGGTATACACACACAGGTAGGTATATGTCCTCTGGACACAGACTAAAGAAGTAGTGGTTGAAAGTCGAAATGTCAATGGGGATTTCTATTAGACCAAAGTCGAAATTAAAGAAAGGAGGGAAAAGGAAGAAAACTCACAAGTATTTATTGAGTTTTTCTTGTTATCAGTTACTGTTTTTAAATGTTCATTTAATCCTTACAACAACCTATTATTATTCTCATTTTACATGGGAGAAAATAAAATGTGAAGCGGTCCTATTTAGCAGATGAAGAAACAAAGGAGTAGAAACTGATATCACAATTACATAGCTAAAATGTCAAAGCAAGTTCAAAACCCAGGATTAGCTAAATTAAAAAACCTGTGGGAGGGCCGGCTGAGTGGCCCGTTGGTTAAGAGCTGGCTTGGGACGCCAGAGGGCCCTGGTTCAGATCCCACATATGAGAGCCAGTGACACTGCCCTCCACAACTAAGATGCTGAACAACAGCTCAACCTGGAGCTGGGCTGTGGTGAGTGGCTGGCGATGGCAAGGCTGCAGCCCCTGCTGCAGTGGGTTTCCATGGGCTACCGTGTATAGCCAGCAGCCAGCGTGAATGGCCAGCAGCCGCTGTGAGCGGCCGCCCAGAAGCCGGCGACTGATCTGCCTCGCCCGGGAAGAACGCAATGATGGTGCCAACTTGGGCCAGTGAAGCAACGTCCTCCACAGCTAGACTGAAGAACAAAAGGACAGCAACTTGTCTGTTCGCCTTCCCCTAATTGTCCAGCACTGTTCCCATCCCACAATTCCCCAATAAAAAAAATCTAAAAAACCCCCAAAAACCTGTGGGACTAATTACTGCAGGTGGTAGACAGACTCTAGAGTAGCCCCTGTGATGTCCACCCCCTGGTGCTCACAAGTTTGTGCAATTCCCTCTCCTTGAGTGTTAACAAACCTTGTGACTTGCTTCTAAACCATAGAACATGGCAAAAATGATAGAATATCACTCTGTCTTGCTAGCTGACTCACTCTAGAGAGTTTAGAGACACTCCTTGCAGGTTTGATGAAGTAAGCAGCCATTTTGGGAAAACCTACATAGCAAGGGACTGTAGGTGGCCTCTAGGAGCTGAGGACAGTCTCCAGCTGGCAAAAAGCTAGGGCTCTCAGTCCTACAACCATAAGAAAAGGAATTCTGCCAACTACCTGAATGACCTTGGAAGCAAATTCTTCCTTAGTCGGGCCTCCAGTGAGAACACAGTCTGACTGATGCTTTGATTGCAGCTTTAAAAGACCCTCAGCAGAAGATGAAGCTAAGCTGTACCTGGACTCCTGACTCACAGAAACTGTAATATAATAAATATGTGTTATTTTAAACTGCTAAGTTTGTGGTAATTTATACACAGCAATAGAAAACTAATACACCACACTACCTTGGTTTTCCCTATGCTTGGAGAGCAGTAAATTCTTAGCAAATGGTAGTTGCTATTATGAAGATAATCAAAATGGAAATTTAGAATATTAGAGTCAAAGAGAAATGCAACAGAGAAATTTACCAGTTAAATAATTGTTTCCAAAGTGATCAAGCAGCTGACTTAGAAGACACAGAGATGATGATATGCAAAAACTTGTATATTACATACTCCCGATAATCATTGAGTGTATTATTATCACATGAAATACTATAAAATTTCTAGTGGTGCTTATACCCATTCTAGTTTTAATGGCTTACACCATACTCAAAGTAAACTGGAAAGTTTTCCTACATTAAAATAGTCTACATTAGACATGAAGAAATATTAAAATATTCAGATTCCAATCATACTATTATAAATTGTGATTTTTTTTAGAACATTGTAACATTTTAAAAGTTTAAATATTATGGGTAAAATAATTCTGAGCATTGGATCAACAAACCAACCCCAGATGAAACTACTATCAGCACAATACTTTTAGTTCATGAGCGCACGTGGATTTTACTTACCAAAGATAATTTATACTAAACATACAATGTCATTGTACATATTTAGCTATAAAATAGGTTACAGGATTTGAATGGGTTTTCATTTGATAGATTTAAGGTTTGCTATTATGGAAAAAAGAGGGGCTAGTACTCATGTCTAACTAAATTGCAAAATGATTTTTCTGGTTGTTCCTTCTAACAGTGCCTCCTTTCCCTTCTGGGTTTATATTAACATGTGAATATATAGTTTCTGTCGTCATTAAAAATGGTATTTATTGACTGAATGAACATATTAACTTCACTACTGTCACACAAATATACACTGAACATATAGTAAACATAAGCATAGGCCTTTTATAAGTATTACAGCGTTAAAAAATTTGCCCCTTCTTCCTCTAATGAGAATATATGACCCTGATAATTATCACCATTCACAATCTTAACAGATTTAATACATATTATGCCAAATACAGTGTTAGTAACATGGTAGCTAATATTTTCTTCTTAGGGCAATGATGATTTCTATCAGTTTTCTTAATTTTCTGTCATCTGCGCTATCTGGTAATGAACACTAATAATATACCTATACATATTTATTTGTGATTTGACTTTTCTAATACTGAAATGTTCAAGGGATAACAAATTACTATATTAATTAATTTGAAATTTATCTACCTATTTAAATTACTTGTCCAGTTAACAGGTTTTTGTTTTGTTTTTTTGCAAACCTTATCATCAGCATTTACTTCTTTGTTTAGATTCATGATTTTGAATTGTTCTTTTGAAAAGTAAAGTAAACCTCATGCTGGATCCCTGAAAGAACTAAGCACAATACTCAATGTGTATTTTCTTCCTATGGTATGTTATCTACAGATGGATAATGAGGAAAGCAAACCAGTCTGTCTTGTTCTAGTGCCTGCAAGGTACCTCAAGGCTATTATTCAATCCAAGTGCCCACTAGAGCAAGTTGGGGTCTTTTTTAGAAAAAGGTGGGGTATCAATGCAAATAGTTTTTAAAAGGTCAAACTGCCAGGTTTAAGGCAACTTTCAAAATATTGAACCTGCCACAGGTTCAAAATATAGGAATTTGCTAAATCCATTTCTTAGTATATTCTATGAACTGATTCTAGGCTTAAAGTGAAGTTATTTTCCTCTTTGGCCTTAGATGAAATTTGGTGTATCTTTCCTTAATATTTTCATAATATAAACTCATCTGGTTTTATAAGAGGTCAGGGATTTAGGAGGATTTCTTCATTATTTTATAGTTAAATTTATTTCATGTTGGGGATTGATATTCTCACTCTCCTTATTACAAATTGTGGAGAACTGAATTTAGAAAAATATAATGTAAGAATTTCCTCTTAACTACTTTTGTTGCTTTCCTTCGCTTTTGTCCTTCCTTTCCCCCAACTTTAGCTCTTTAGTGCTTAACATTAGATCACAGAGTTACATTTGCAGTTTTCAAAGTGACTTTTTGGAAGTGAAACTTGAATTTTTTTTTCAATCCCCAACTGTGAGTTACATCTTCACTTTTGATTTGTTAAAACATACTAAGTGTCATAAATGCCTGAAACTTTATTTTTAGGCAAAGAGAGTTTCAAAATGGAAAGAAATCTTACTAAAATCAAGGCATAAGCACTCAAATGAGGGCCCTTTTCTCTCTTTTAAAACAATAATCTAAGGCATTCTCTTTCATGCGGACTGTATTTTATTGGATTAAGGTTGCAAGCCCTCTAAAACCAGGCTGAATTGGATTACTGTTTAAAAAGATCACACCGAGGAAGTATTAATAATACACACACAATTCAAATATCTCAGCCAAAGAGTGATAGTTGCCTGAGAGGAAGGCCTGGAACTAGTTGAAAATTTAGAGGACTCCGTTGGGGGAGGCCTCAATAGAGAAACCATGCACTATTTTCAGAGTTCAGTGGGTTGCTGGGAAGGGGGTGACCTTTAACCTTCCAGAGGACATTTATTTGGGAAACTGAACAACGTTTTCTTTGAGGGGGGTGAAAGGAGAGGTGGAATGTTGTGAAAATATCTACTTTAATAGGTCCTGGGTGACTTAGGGACGTTTGGAGTTGGTTGCTCTGGGAGGTGGGCGAGAGCCCAGTCCCAGGGAGGGAGGAAGGCTGCACCTGGATGCTTCTGAGAACGTGTCTGGGTGGCGGAAGGGTCGCGGGAAACAGTAGCGTTCAGCGTAGGTTTCTGTCCTTACGTGCAGGACTATGAGAGGAGGTGCAGAGGAGTCGCGCGGGTTACTTCCGTCTCCCGGAGAGCGCCGGCTACCCCCGCGTTGTAGCCCCTCTCCTGGGGCGGCGAGCGCTCCCCCCGGCCCCGGCCGCGGCCGCGGCCCTCCCGCCCCGGCGGAGCCGCGCGGTGGATTGTGGGCTGGGGGCTGCGGCGGCCTGGCGGCGGCCTCCGGCGCTGCCTCCCCCCGACCTAGTCGGGCTGAGCCGGGTCGGCGGGGCAAGGAGAAGCAGTGAACAGGGAGCAGAGGCGCTAAGGGTTGTGGTCGCGGCGGCGGCGGCTCCTCTGGAGGCCGGGGATGTGGGAGAGGCGGTGGCAGCAGCGGCGGAGGCGGCGCTGCGGACCCGGGGGAAACTGCTGGCTGACAGGACACCCAGGAGAGACGTGAGGGAGCCGCCGCTGCCGCCTCTCACCCCAGAGCGGAGCTGGGCTCAAGAGGGCCGCCCTGTGCTCCCCCGGCTGACGGGCCAGCCGGCGCGGGGCGGGGGCGGGGGCGGGAAGGAGGGCTCGGGCCCGGCCGGGCTCCGGGCGGCGGCGGCCGCGGAGCAGCAGCCTCGGCGCGACGTGGAGGGCTGGAGGCAGCGACGATGCACTAGGCCTCGCTCTGGGGCGGCTGCCCGGGACCCGCAGGTAGGTGTCCGGCCGGCCCCAACTCAGCCCCTGCACTTAGCGGCCCACCCTCCACCCGACCTCCTGTGGAGAGAGGGACCGAGACCCCACCTCCTCTGTCTCCTCCCCGACTCCAATCGGACAGAGTTTCGGTCACAACTGACCCGCGCGCTTAAGCTTCCATTCTCCTCCGCCACCTCCTCTTCCTTGTCACTCTCCCTCCGGGATCGGGTCGGCAGCTGTGCCCCCCCACCTCCAGCTGGGGTCGCAAACGTCGCTCTCGCCCCTCTTTGGGACCCCGGCTCCGGAACTTCCACCACCTGCCTTGAATGCTGCCCCCAAACTTTCCCTGTCTTTTTCCAGCCGGGCCCTTAGCCCCGCTTTTGAGGCTACTGAAATAAATTAAAAAGAAGAAAAAAAAAAGATTTTTCTTCCTGGGGAAGGCTATCCCAAAGAACTCGGTGTTTTGCAGTTTGGCAGTTTAGCTTGCAATACTTCGTTCAATAATTAATGTTCTTCAATTCTGCTTCTTTCCATGTCTGCATTGATACAGAAGCAGGCCTCCCCAGCCCTCCCGTTGTTGACAAGGGAACTTTTGACCATTATAATTGACTGCTTGGTCTGTCCATGTGCTGAGTTCAGGATGGTATTTTTAGAATTTTGGCTGAGCTGGGTTGTGATTTTTCTTTAAAAAGAATTCCCCTTTAACCTGATTTATTTTTTGGTCTTTCTTGAGACAGCTTTCAAAGAATTGAATTGTTTGGAGTGTTTTTGTTTATCGTTTTTAAATGACTCTATTTCTGATTTGTCAAAACACAGGGCAATATTAATAGTAAATGCTTACAAGGCAAGTGATAACTATGATAGTATACTGAGAAATGTGTTATTGTGAAAACTGCAGATTTTGATGGACATTCAGGTTGACTTTTATAAATCTCTTGGCAAGTTCTAATTGGAAAAGTACCTTGAGAGCCTTAATGATTTCTAAGCATTTGTGATAGAACAGACGGAATGATGGGATTTGTTTGTTTGACTGTATTTGTATTGTAGTCAGAGTCTGATTTCCTAGAAATAGGTATTACTTGATGGTTCATTGTGATCATCATTGCTCATAGGTTTGGGTGAAAATGATGAATATGTACAAATTTGGGGTAATTGATAGTTGTGGTTTGGAGGAGTACATGTTTGCAATTTTTTTGTGATTTGGCTATTTTTAAATTATGCTCTGGTAACTTCAGAATTATTACAGTACCAGGACAGACATGACAGTCTGAGGATTACTTTTAAAGGGAATGAAAAGTGTTTTACTGATTTTCTTTTTAAAGAATGTATCACACCAAAATATAAAGACTGTCCATGTTTTGTTTTTGTTGATGATATTCATATATTTTATTCTTGTAGAGGTATTGTTACTCTAGCATTTGGCTTTCATTGTTTCATTTCAGTGATTTTCATTGCTTCCAAATCATACAAAATTTACTAGGAAAAGATTAAATTTATTTTCTGGAAAAGTTATTTCTGGATAGGTATGACGTTTTTAATTTCAGAATTAAAATCAAATCTTATAACTCATGTAATAGCAAAATTTGTAGAATTTGTTCTTAATCACATTTGCCTATCAATAAAAATTGATTAAAATTCATTTTTCTTTTAGCTTTTTACAAACAACTTTAAGTAAAATACACTTGCTTAAAGTGAAAAATTCAGTGATTTTTAGTATATTTACAAAGTTGTGCAGCCATTGCCATAATCTAATTTTAGAACATTTTCATCATCCCAAAAAGAAACTTCTGCTCCTCATTAGCAGTTACTCCCCATTCTCCCTACACCACTCCCAGACCTAGGCAACTACTAAATCTATTTTCTATCTCAGTATTTGCTTATTGTCGTTCATTCCTATAAATGGTATCAGCTCATAGCTTCTTGAAAAGATTTCATTAAAATTTTTATTAAAATATAGCTAACATACTGTATTCTGTTAATTTCACCATAGTTATTCAACATTTATATACCTAAAGAAGTGATCATCATGATAAGTCCAGCACCCATCTGACACCATACTGTACAATCACAATATTGTTGACTATAGTCCCTATGCTGTACGTTACATCCCCATGACTTATTTGCTTTATACTTGGAAATTTTTACCTCTATTCCCCTTCACCTTCCCCCACCCTTTTAAAAATTTTTCAATTATAGTTGACATTCAGTATTATTTTATATTAGTTTCAGGTGTATAGCACAGTGATCAGACATCTATATAATTTACAATAACTGACTAGTTATTAACATTATTGACTATATTCCCTATGCTTTACATCTCCATGACTATTTTGTAACTACCAATTTGACTTCTTAATCCCTTCACCTTTTTCACCCCGTCCCCAACCCTCCTCCCATCTGGCAGCTATCAGCTTGTTCCCTGCATCTCTGAGTTTGTGTTTCTGTTTTGCTTGTTTATTTTGTTTTTTAGATTCCAAGTATGTGAGGTCTTATGGTATTTGTCTTTGTCTGATTTATTTCACTTAGCATAATACCTCCCAGGTCTATCCAAATGGTAAGATTTTATTTTTTTATGGTTGAATAATATTCTGATATTCCATTGTATATATGTACTACATTTTTTTTTAAACATTTGTTGTTTTTTTAATTGGGGAACAGTGTGTTTTTCCAGGACCCATCAGTTCCAAGTAGTTGTTTTAATCTAGTTGTGGAGGGCGCAGCTCAGTGGCCCATGCGGAGATCGAACAGGCCACCTTGGTGTTATGAGCACTACGCTCTAACCAACTGAGCCAACTGCCCCCCCCCCAGTACCACAGTTTCTTTATTCAGTCATCCATTGATAGGTAGTTAGGTTGCTTCCATATCTTGCCTATTGTAAATAGTGCTACAGTGAACATAGGGGTGCGTATATCTTTTTGAATTAGTGTTTTGGATTTCTTTGGGCAAATACCCAGAAGTGGAATTGCTGGGTCACAAGGTAGTTCAGTTTTTAATTTTTCGAGTAACCTTCAAACTGTTTTCCTTAGTGGTATACCAATTTTCAATCCCACCAACAGTGCACCAGGGTTCCCTTTTCTCCACATTCTTGCCAACACTTAATTGTTTTTTGATTTATTGATAATAGTCATTCTGACAGGTGTGAGGTGTTATCTCATTGTGCTTTTAATTTGCATTTCTTTGATGATTAGTGACATTGAGCATTGAAAAGTCTTTTAAAATCAATTTAAATAATCAAAATGATTAAAATATTTTATTTGAATCAGAGAATAAGCAACTGATCACTGGTATTAATAAACACTGTTTTGGGCCAACCGAGTGGCGCGTTTTTTAAGAGCTGGCTT